GAATTCTTCCAACCCGCACCAGCGGTCATAATCTTACGAACAATTTTTGGTCCTTCGAGCCGGATTCTGTGTTAAGAAATACGGATTTTGTGATTGTGAGGTGAATTGAGAAAAGAAACCAAAAGGGATCAAACATCGGTCAATTTTCCACGGAATCACGGGCCAGAGATAGGAATCTCACCCCCTCCAGCGCGCCATTGTACGTGTGAGACGTATACATAGGCGCGCCTACACACATCAAGACGCACGAGTCCGTGTTCACGAAGAAGCTTTCGTCAAATTTCGGCAGTCACCGAACGTTACCGAACGTCACGGGGCATCGCGTCAGAGACGCCCCCACTTTCCGTCTTCTCCTGCCCCGCTGAAGAGAGGCAAGCTTACACGCAAGCTTACAAGCTCCGCCACGTTGAAGCGAACTTGATCGCATTCGGCAGTCGCCGCGCACGAGTTCCAACTGGACTTCTTCGCTTCGAAGAGTTCGACCAACGCATTTTCGCCCACGACATCAAATTCATCATGGGTCTGTCATATGATTCAGCTCTAATTCAACAGAAGCAATTTCTTGGGCTTCTTGCAAGAGCGGTGGAGAACTTCAAGAAAATCGGCCCCAAAAATATCACTGTTGCCATAGCACGCAGTCGACTCGTAAATGTCGAAAAATATTGGGAACGCATTTTGGAGCTCAACGCACAACTCGAAGAATTAGCTACGGACGAAGATCGTTCGGCAGAGCCATATTTCACCGACTGTCTTTTCTACGCCGCAGAGGAGACCTTCCTGGGAGCCTCGGACTACATAACAGCCTGCGTAGATAAGTTAACACCGTCTACTTCTAATGCTACACCTCCGATTCATAATTCGACCATAAACGAAACTCAGTCGCAAAATAAGTCTCCATTTTTGCCGCGCATAACTTTGCCAAAATTTTCGGGAAATTATACCGATTGGGTCAATTTTCGAGATATTTTCGCTTCTCTCGTGCATAGTAGTACAAGCCTATCGAATGTTGAACGCTTTCATTATTTAAAATCGAGCCTAACCGGAGATGCAGCATTAGTACTTAAAAACATTTCGATTACGGACGCGAATTATGCTTCCGCGTGGAACACGCTCAATTCGCGTTATAATAATCCTCGTGCAATTGTAAACGCGCATTTGTCTGCATTATGCGATCTCGCGCCAGTAAAGCACGAAAATGCTACAGAATTGCAATTTTTACGCGATCGAACAAATGACGTCATTGCGGCGCTCACTACGTTGGAACGACCTGTATCCGAATGGGACGATTTGCTTGTATTTTTAACAGTTAAAAAACTCGACAAACATACGCGAATGGAGTGGGAGTTCAAACTCGGCGATTCTGAGGACTTCCCCTCCTATGATGATTTAGATTCGTTCTTGTCTGCGCGCATCCGAGCGCTCGAATCGGTGTCGTGCGTCGGTCCGTCTACTAACGCGTCGACGAAAACAAGCGGATCGCCGCATTCGAAATCAACTCGCGTACTCACCGCAACCGAGAAGCATGAACGGTGTACTCTTTGCGCAAATGAACACCAACTGTACCAGTGTCAAAATTTTAAAACCCTCGAGCTCGAAAGTCGAATGAAAATTATCCGAGATAACAATCGATGCATAAACTGTTTGCGCGTTGGACACGCGGCCTCAAAGTGTCGAAGCAAATTTAGATGCGCTCGTTGCAAGGGATTGCACCATACGCTGCTGCATCAGGATCGGTCTGCTGCACCGGTGCAATCGGTAAACCATGCGGGAACGGCGTTAAGCCTAGACGCTAAGCCTTTTACTGATAACACTGCAACTGGATTTGCTGCTTCCGACATTGAAACGTCGCTGTCTTGTCCGACTAAAATTAATAACGCACCAGACAATCTTACTGCCTCTAACCCTCGGCCATGCGGCTCATGCAATACGGCAGGTGGCAACGGAGTCGTATTCCTCGCGACCGCAACTGTCGTTGTCAAGTCACCGGAAGGTCGGACCTTCCGAGCTCGCGCTTTACTCGACTCTGGATCTGAGTCTACCTTTATTTCAGAACACGCCGTACAAGCTTTGCGCGCGAAGCAACATAAGACTCATATCGAAATTACCGGTGTAGGTGCACAAGCACAAGGGCTTGTTCGCGCACTGACGAACATTACTATTGAACCGCGTGATGGACAGGGCCCAACGATTGCGGTTAGAGCACTAATTCTGAAGAAATTATCTTCGTACAAGCCGACAGCGCATATTGCTCCCGGCAAATGGCCGCATATATCGGGATTGCCGCTGGCGGATATTGATCCGTCAGACCCTGTTCCCATCGACCTCTTGATCGGTGCGGACCTGTACGGGCAACTGCTCTTAGACGGGTTGCGCAAAGGACCGCTAGGTTCCCCTACCGCACAACGGTCCATTTTCGGTTGGTTACTCATCGGTCCCTCATCCAACTACCACAGCATCCGCACATCCGCGACGACTTTACATTGCTCGTCCGTAACAAACGTCGACTCGCTTCTCAAGGCATTCTGGGAAGTCGAGGAAGTAAACACGCCAAACATCCTTTCAGAAGAGGATCTCCGATGCGAGCAACATTTCGCGTCAACGCACCAACGCTTACCAAATGGACGGTACATGGTGCGCCTCCCTCTGAAAGATATATCAATGCAAATCGGCGCAACTCGCCAAGCGGCGAAACGCCTTCTTGAAAAATCTGAATGCCAGTTAATTCGTCAATTGGAAGTTTTGGGAAAATACAAAGCGTTTATGACCGAGTATCGCGATCTCGGCCATATGATGCTCGCGCCACCCCACTCTTCTAAAATCGGGACTACGGTGTATTTGCCACACCACCCGGTCTTCAAACAACATGACCCGTCGAGTAAAATTAGGATCGTCTTCAATGCGTCACATCGCTCAAGCGACGGAAGCACGCTTAACGATCACTTACTTTGCGGTCCCAAGCTGCAGAGCGATCTGCCAGCTATAATCCTTCGGTGGAGACAACACCGATACATCTACACGGCGGACATCGAGAAGATGTTCCGTCAAATTCTCGTTCACCCTGACGATCGAGACTATCAGAGAATCCTTTGGAGAGATTCTCCCTCTGAACCCATAGCGGAGTATCAATTAGCTACCGTTACTTACGGTACGGCCTGTGCTCCCTATCTCGCACTACGCGTCTTGCGGCAGCTTGCTCACGATGAGCGGGCGCATTACCCACGTATCGCCGGCATCATTGAGGAGGATACCTACATTGACGATATCTTCTTTGGTGCTGACGATATCCAGACCTTGCGCGAGATGCGAACTGAACTCGTCACTCTAATGAGCAAAGGCGGGTTCACTCTCAAGAAATGGTACTCGAATGAGCCATTGCTCTTGGCGGATATCTCCGCTACCTCTTCCGACCCTTCCTTGCTGCTCCACTTGGATCAGGAGGGGAGTACCAAGGTGCTCGGAATACACTGGCATCCAGCCACCGACTCATTCCGGTTTTCCGTAACCGTGTCACCTACCGGATTTCCGACGAAACGGCTCGTACTATCGGAAATCGCCAAGCTCTTTGACCCCTTAGGATGGGTCTCCCCCGTCACTATACGGGCTAAGATCCTATTGCAGGAGTTATGGCTCCGAAAGGGCGATTGGGACGATCCACTACCCGAGGACTTAGCCAGACAGTGGCAAGAGTATTGTCGCGATTTGCCGGCCCTTTCTCGCATTTCCATCCCTAGGTGGACAGGTCAACGAATCGAACATGCTACCCGGGATTTACACGGTTTCGCCGATGCCTCAAATCGCGCATACGCGGCTGTAGTATATCAGCGCGTGCTTCACCCAACTGATCCACCGGAAGTCACCCTGCTGGTCAGTAAGACCAAGGTGGCCCCTATCAAGACACTGAGCATACCCAGATTGGAACTCTGTGCAGCGTCACTACTCGCGAAGTTAATGTCCAACGTTGTCTCGACTGGTCGCGCTTCGGACGCATCCCTACATTGCTGGACCGACTCCACCGTGGTACTAAGCTGGCTTAACGAGCATGCGTCGCGGTGGAAGACGTTCGTCGCCAATCGAGTGTCTGACATACAAACGCGGCTACCCACGGCTACTTGGCGCCACGTGCCAAGCAAGCATAACCCTGCGGATATTGCTTCACGGGGTATTTCACCCTCAGAGCTGGCAACCACGATCTTTGGTGGAATGGATCACAGTGGCTCAAACTTGAACCTTCCGAGTGGCCACACAACCCACTCATCACCATACCGGACGATGAGCTCGCCCGTAAAACCCCAACGACACAAACTGCTCACGTCAGCACGGAGGAGTGGGACCTACCCACGAAATTCTCCACATGGCCTCGATTAGTGCGCGTCACCGCGTACGTACTACGCTTCGTGAGACTTTGTCGGTCCCGCA